GGAGGTCCAACTCCTAAGGTGGGGGCTCGGGAAACACCCTCGGGGGGAAGTGATACGTGGACCCCATTGTGGAAGACAGCGGTAGAGATGGGATTGGGAGGCTGGAGAATTCCAGCAGAAGGAACGGTAGGCATATAAACCATCGACCCCCTGAACGCCTGGCCTGGATGTGACCTTAACAGCATGATCCGGGCTCAGTTCTGTGAGGTGGTGGTTCTCACTGGGGCTGGTTTTGTCCCCAGGGGATACCTGACCATGTCTGGTAGTCACAGCTGAGAGGATGGCACAGGTGCTGCCAACCATGACCCAAGTGCAGTTCTGCCCACACCATGAGGAGCCTCTGGCCAAAAGTCCCAGGTGGGGTGAGGAGTGGCTGCTGACAGCCATATGCGGGCCCTGCTTCTCCAGGCCCAGAGTGAGTTTCTCTCTGGTGACCCTTGGTCTTTCTTCCCTGCCCTGCCTCCCTTGGGAAAGAGCTTTCTGGTTGCTCGTAACCCTTGGCCTGCTCCAGAAATGGAAGCCAGTGCGTGGGCTGAGGACGTGCTACCTCTGGAATGTGAAGGCCAGGCTCTGGCCTCGGCCCCTCAGATCTTGGAAAGGGGAGAGATGGTGTCCTGAGGACACTTGTGGAGACCGTGCCGGCCACTGGGTGGGGAATTAGCTAGTTTGTTCACAGGGTGCGGGTCAGCGGTGCAGGTTCCCCAAACGGAAGAGGGCTGACTGGGTGGGGTCGCCTCGCCACCACCTGCGGTGCTGAGGGACATGAGCGACATCCCTCTGCAGCTACTGGTCCCTGGGCCCGACAGGTCCTCCTTGGATTGTGGGCAGGAACTGGGGTGCCATCTCACCCAACATGGAAGGGGCCCCACATTGGGGAGGTCTGATTAAGGGGGTGTGGCTGTGCTGAGACAAGACAACCAGGGCTGGTGTCTTGCTGCTGTTGACCCTTGCGAGAAGGGTTTACTGCCTGTTCACTTGGTCACAAATGACAACACCCATGGTTGCCAGTTGTTAGGCTGGCGTGGGGACCACAAGACTCAGCTGTTCCCGCCCGAGCTCACGGTGACAGGCCTCACGTTGGCCAATGACTTGCGAGAGCCGGGCCCTGGGAGATGCTGCTCTCACCTCTTGAGGTGTGGTGGGAGCCGAGCATTTCTGGGGCAATGGATGAGGGGGTTTGGCCAAGGGAAGGGAAGGGAAGGCAGTGGGGTCTGGGTAGAGAAGGCCCCAGGTATGGCAGCCCGGAGAGGAGGGAGGGGCACACGTAGCCGCTGGATTTCCCTGGGGTGAACGCAGGGAAACCCCGCTCTTGGAGGTGGGAGGGCTGGCATGGGGAGATGGCCTCTCCCTGGACGCCTGCACCCACCTCTGTAGCTGCTTGGCATGGTCCTTCCCTATGGAGGGAGCCTCCTGCTGGGGCTCCAGATCAGCCATCCACCAGAGAAAGGGGTGTCCCGCCCCAGAATGCTGTCTCTTTGAACTGGGAAGACTGGAGAGTACCTGCTGGTGACACAGGCACTCCCTGGCCACCCCGGCCACCCCAGTGGCTGTGGAAGGACATGTGCCCTCCAGGGCCCCCTGCCTCTAACACATAGGTTGAAGCCCTTACCCCCAGGGACTCAAAATGTGCCTGCATTTGGGGAGGGGCCTTTGTAAAGGTGATTAAGTTAAAATGAGGCCAATCCAATCTGACTGGTGTCCTTGTGCAAAGGGAAATTAGGACCCAGGCGCGAGCCACAGAGGAAAGACGCTCTGCAGGCTCGAGGAGGCGGCTGTGGGATGCCAGGGGCAGCCTCAAAACGAAACCAGTCCCGCCAGCACCTGTTTGGGGACTTTTCACCTCCAAAACTATGAGGAAATGGATTTCTGTTTATAAGATACGGGTCTGCGGTACTTGTTACGGTGCCGGAAGAGATGACTACCTCCGGGGTCTCTGGACAGAGCCTGGGGATGAGGGACGGCACAATGAAGACAGTCTGGCCTCTTCTCCCATGTGGATCTGAAGCCACAACTTAAACTGCGCTATAGAAGACACCCCCTTCCCTCCATACTCAAGCATCTGTAGCTGCTGGACCCTGGTTGGGGGGGGAATGGAAGTAGCACCCCACAGATGCCACCACAAGCCCACAACCTCCCACCTAGCTAGGGCCTCCTTCCCCAGAGTGGCCCCTGCAAACGCCTCTGGGCCCTCTTCTCTCCCCAACCCCCATCGACCTCGCATCAGCTGTTGCCCTGCTCCGGAGTGGCCCCGCATGCCATCCTGGCCTTCAGTGAAGGGCTCAGTGCCGGCGCCCGTCCTCCCTCTGGGCCTCCCCCCACTCTCCTGACAGCAGGAGGCGGGCTGGACAGAGCAAGGTGTGGTTTTATGTCTTGCCTTTTCTCTTGCATCACGAGTATTTCAGCACCAAGGTCATAGGCGTGAGTTCTGAGGTCCATTGGTCCTGGCCCCTCTCTGTCCCTGTTCTAGAATATGCAACCCCAGCCCACTGATCCTTTTATAAAATGGGGCTCACAGAATCCAACTCGTGCAGCACCTGGCCCAGGGCCTGGGAGCCATGATATTCCACGTGATTCGGCCCACTTGACTTCATTCTAGCAGGTAGGCCGTTCCCCTAGCCGGCTTGCCACCAGCTGGGCATAACTCATTAAAGACTAACAAGGGCCTCCCTAGTGGCACAGGGGTTAATGACAGTGCTATCAAGCTATCACCGCCACTGCAGCATGAGTTCAATGCCCGGCCAGCCAGGGAGCAACCCACATGGCGCAGCAGACCTCTCCTGTCTCCCCGCTGCTCCCCTCAGCAGTGTATTTCAGTCGATCTGCCTGTTCTGCTCCCCACTCTGTCCCTGGTGAATCCTCTCACCCCATCCCCTGTATCTTTGGCCTACACCCCAGTTCTTGTATGCATAAATAACTCTTGGGAAAAAAAAAAAAAAAGACAAAGAGCCGTCGTCTGTGGCTAGCTCTGAGATTGGAGGCTTAACTTTCAGTGGCATAAGCACAGGGTCAGCACAACCCTTTAACATGCGGGGCATCCCCCAGAGGATTTTTCCAATCAATATGGCCACCATGCCCAGCGCCAGTGCTGGGCTCCCCGAAATCCCGGAATGATCTTCACCTTGACCAGCCCTTGCCCGAGGGCAACCCTGACACCCCAACGGTCACTCTGAAGTTTGCTGACTCTTTCTCTTTCAGTGAATTATCTGTTTCTGATCTTTGCTCCTTTGGCCCTTATCAATGGCATGGGCTTTTAATAGGCTGATAACGCCTGGCTTGTTCATCTTGGGAAACTTGAGCTGCACAGCACTTGTCGGAGCCTGACGTGTGGCTCTCAGAAACGCTGCTGTGTGCTTTTGAAGCACTCTTCGGGGGAGCTGGGAAGTGAAAGGGAGTGTGATTCGGGCAGTGTGTGAGATGTCCGGGTGGTGCAGACTCAATAATGGCAACACCTGTCCACATCCCAGCTCATGGGGGCAGGCGGGAGGCACCTGGTAGACAGGCCGGCCAGCCCTGAGCCCTGCCTGCTTCCTGTAGTTCTGGATGGGAACAAAGGTGGGGAATTGTCACAGCAAATGAACCGCCCGTCAACCACTGAATGAACAAATGAATAAAGCTTCTACTTCATGTATAAAGAATGGGGAAAAACAGTCTGCTGGTTCCGCAGGAAGTTAAACGTGGAGTAACCACATGACTCGGCCGTTCTGCTCCCAGGTATCTACCAGAGGGAGTGAAAGCGAACGTTTCCCACAAATGTCCAGAGCAGCATTATCCACAGTAGTCCAAAGGTAGAAGCAACCCAAGAGTCAACAGACAGGTAAGTGGGTTCGCTCCATGCAGTCCATGCAGATAGCGTGATAATGCGTAGCCACAAAGAGACACGCGGTGCTAATTCCTGAAGACACAGGTGAATGCTGAGGGATGTATGCTCAGTGAAAGGAGCCGGAAACAAATGCCACATGGAGTGTGACTGCACTCAAATGAAGTGATCGGAATAGGCCAGCCTGCCACGTCAGAAGGCGGACTTGCGGTGCCAGGTCTGGAAGGGCCTGCAGGTGGATAGACTGTGTGGAGGGTCTTTGCGGGGTGATGAAAATGTCCCGGAATGAAACAGCGGTGGTATTTGCATAGCTCTGTGAATACACTAGAAACCACTAATTTTCACTTTTAAAGCTTTTTAAGGGTTTTAAAGCTTTTAAAAGGAACATTTCTGAAGTCCAACAAGTACATGTCAAACATTTCCAGACCAAGCAGGTAAGACAACTCATGCAGTTTGGGAAAAAAAAAAAGCCATTGGATTTGAAAACACAGCTGAAAAGTGAAAAAAAGAAAGTGATAGTGGCTACTACTGAGTCACGACTCAGGACGAGGAGGGGAGTGTGTGAGAAAACTGGAAGTGAAAGTGGTCGTCGTGACTAACCCAGGATGACAGGCGAGCCAGGCTGGTCGTGACCTCGGATCAGAACTTTTCTAACCTTTGACATGATGGGAGATAAAATGCCCACTGCTGTTCTCGCCAGAAAGATACGGAGTTTCAGGAGGGTTATGAGTCTGATTCACAAAGCGCTTGCACAGGTCAGCGGCCTGGAGTATCTCACGCGATGGCATTGAAGAAGCCGCTGAGCCTAAGACAAGCATGGAGCAGCCCTGCCCGTTCTCAGAAAGCAATAATCATAGAACTTTCTGTATGGGCCTGCCCAGGTCCAGGACTTGAGATACTTTGTTCCAGGACTGCTGTACACGTTTCTGAGGTGGTGGTGCCCCCTGCCTTTCACAAGTAAGCAAACCGAGGCTCAGAGAAGTTGGCATGGCAATTCCCAAAGGAAAGGCTGGCACTTTCCTGCCCAGTCCAGGGCCAGGCTCTCTGTGGGGTGGAAATGTGCACAAGCAGAAATCCCAGGTGATCTGAGCCCAGAAGACAGTGCCACTGGGCACTTGCCTCAATCCTCAGCTAACCAGGGCTTCAAACGCCAAACACTTGCCAACCTAAAAATAAACTCTGCTTAGGAAGAAGCAAGCTTCATAATTTCCTACACAATGCCCTACTCAGCCCTTGGGATGGCATCTGATGAAGCTGGCCCCATGGAAGTCCAGGGCCGGGGCTCCTGGGCCTGCTCGGGCCTGCCAGGCTTTCTGACAGCACATATGCTGCACTTGACGCCTGGTCTCTGGATGTTGACCAATGCGTGGCTCACTGGATGTTTAAGTCCACTGCTTTTGTCCCTCAATCAATGCCCGCCCATATATGTAGTTCATGCCATGGCTTCCCCCACATCGCATCTGATGAATCAGGTCTCTGCCCTCTCCATGTGACTGGTCACCCATTCCCATCGCTCACAACTCTCCAACATCTGGAACCCTCGCTCTATTCTGCGCTGCTCTCTCCCCTGGGCAGCTGGAACAAACTCCCTCCATGACATCTTCCTGTTTTCACATTCGTACGCCACCCTTGCCCCAGTTCCCTTTCCATCCATCCATCCATCCATCCATCCGCAAATACTCACATAAGACATTTAAAAGTTTATTTATTTTTATTTTTTAAAGATTTATTTATGCATACAAAAACTGGGGTACAGGCCAGAGGTACGGGGATGAGAGGATTCACCAGAGACAGAGCAGGGAGCAGAACAGGCGGACTGATTGAAATCCACTGCTGAGGGGGGCAGTGGGGAGACAGGAGAGGGCTGCTGCACCATGTGGGTAGCTCCCTGGCCAGCTGGGGGATTGAACTCATGCTGCAGAGACTGCGGATTGCTTATAGTGCTGTGTTTAATCCCTTGCGCCACCAGGGAGGCCCTACTTTACTTTTTTTTTAAGACACATTTTTTCAGCATCATGATCAGACTACTAGCAGTCAACAGCACAGGTGGAAAAAAAAAATCTACATAAAACCCTTTATTGGAATGCTTTACCTTCCCCACAGAACAGAAACTAAAATAACCTGTTACGCCGCTGGCCACCAATGCAGTCCTGGCGTTTTCTGCCCATACACCTGGGTATCGTCTGAAACACATCTTCTCTGTAGCGGCGAGGCCCTGCCACCGCCGTGCTTGGCTGAGCTCACAAATCCGTTGTGACGTGTCGCTCCCCCGTCACTTCTCTGGCCCTCCTCTCCTGCTAAGCTTTGTTCCTGGCAGTTAATTAAAACCTTCTGGCCCTGCCCACAGCTACTGCTGCTGGATCCACCACAATCACCTTGGTTTCGTGGCTTGGCAGTTTTAGCCTCCACCTTCTGCCTCCAAAGTTTCCTCCTTCCACGGGCCCAAATGTTGAAGACTGGTGTTGTAATTGCCAAAATCACTGCAGCTTCCACCACCTCCAGAACTGCCTCCATCATGATCTCCGGCAGCCAGCCCCACCGCCACCACATCCACCCCACCGCGGCTGCCACCAAAGCCACCTCAGCCACTGACGTTGCCAGATGACCGAAGTCATCCTTCCCACCAAAGCCTCCTCCATGACTTCCGTGTTTCCAGAGCCACCTCGCCCTCTGGCAGGAAGCGCGCTGGCCATCTCTGGGTGGGCGGGGCTGCTCCGACTGCACAGTGTGGCCATTCTGAGTCTGGCAAAGCCCCTCCTCCTGCCATGGCCTCACTTCCGTTTTCCCGATTGCTCAGAGAATCACCTCCTAAGTGATGTTCTTTGGTGATTTCATCGATGGCACCAACAAAAATCTTTCTCACGGTGACGTGGGCGTGGGGTCTTGGCAACTCTTCTCCCAATCAGCTGCCCTGATTGGTTCCGTGGCTCTCCGCCCACCTTGCGTGGCCCTGCCTTCGTGGCGGCAGCCTCCTCCTGCAGTGGCATTGGTGATACCGCGGCCTCTGGGTCACTGGGTGCGTGGCTCTCATGGCAGTCTGTGAGCATCCCCGCTGCTCAGAACGGCTTCTCAGCCTCGTTGCTTGCTTCAAAACTGGAATCTCCGACGAAGAGCTTCCGCAGCTGTCCTGCTCCTCAGGAGACCGGCTGAGGCCTGAGGACAGCGGGATGCAGCCTCTCACAGCGCCTCTCGGCAGTATCCCGGGGCAGAAAGTACATTTAATCTTCTCTTTGAGTGAAAGGCAAATTTAATTAGATGCTATAGTGCCCAGAAGGCACAGAGCAGGCTCTCTATGCTCGAGCAGACGGGTAGAGTCCTGGGGGCCTTGGCGGCCTTTTCAGGCTTTCACTGAGCTTTTGCCAAGTACATGGTGGGCAGGGGCCCCTGGCGAATCTTCACTCTTTCTGGGCCCTCTGGCACTCCTGTTCTTGTCTCGTGCCTGTGCTGCTACTCTTGCTCTTCTTCTCTTGGTTCCGTTCCTGTGATGCCACCCTTAAAAGCCCAGGTGTGCCCACTTATGCATGCCCACACCCACTTCAGGTGCCCGCCATCAGGCATGCATGCAGGACCGCAGGGATCCATCATTGATGCTAATGACAGGAGGGCGGAAAAGCCCGACACTTTCTCTCTTGCCCCACAGATGCCCAATGCCTGAGGCAGGCTTAGTAGGCAAGTGGCTGTGGTAACAAAGTAGTGACATCTTTCTGACTTAAGCAACACATGTTTATCACCTTAAAGTCCTGGAGGTGAGCAGCCTGAAGTGAGTCTGAAGCGAGAATCAAAGTGTGGGCAGGCCTGCATTCCTTCCGGAGGTGCAGCTGCGAGTCTGCTTCCTTGCTTTTTCTAGCTTCTAGAGGCTGCCCACATCCCATCGCTCCTGGCTCCTTCCTCCATCTTCAGAGTAAAGCATCACTAGTCATTGCTTCCAGCCGTCACCTCACCTCTGATTCCAACCCTCCTGCCTCCTTATCAGAACACTTGATTACATTGGTCCCACCTGGATCATCCAGGAAAATCCCCCACTTCCAGATCCTTAACTTAAACCCAACTGCAGAGAACCTTTGCCAGGTGAGGTAATACATTCACTGGTTCCAGGGGATTTGAATGTGGACAGCTTTGGGGGGCTGCTCTTCTGCCCGCTAGAGTAAACTTTTCCTAAAAAGGACCCAGAGTAAATACATTAGGCATTTGGGATCATGTGGCCTCTGCTGCCTACAGGGGCTGCATAATTTCTCAGAGCCCTGTGCAAGATAAAAATGCAGGCCCCCATCGACTGAAGATTTCCAGAATGGTGGCAGGAGAGCAGGGCTTGTGTGTGTGCAGCTTGCACAGACCTGAGGGGCTGGCCTCTCCCTCTGCTGTTGTTGCTTGAAGGCAGCGGCAGCCACGCACACACAGCAGGCACGCTGTGTTCCTGTCAAGCTGGCTGGACACTAAATTTGCCTTTCATTTAATTTTCTCATGGCACAGAATGCCTTTCTTCTCCCCCCCACCCCAATCTGAAGATGTAAAAATCTGTTACAGCCAAGAAGAGACTAAAGAGAAAGGACAACCAAGAGAGTAGATGGAAAATTCTCATTACAAGAAAAAAATATATTGTAACTAAGGGTGGTGCTGGATGTTACTCTAAGTCGAAACTATTTCACAATATATACACACACACTGACCAAGCTATTACATTGTATCAATTACATAGTAAAAGACAAAGAGAAGAGAACTAAAGGTAACATGGTATCCTGGGTGGCACTCTGGAAGAGAAAAAGGACATGAAGTAAAAACAAAGAAATGTAAATAAACTGTAACTTTACTTAGTGATACTGTATCAACACTGGTCCTTTCATTCTAACAAATGCATGACACTAGTGAAAGCCACCACAGTACACTAAATCTATGCAGTACACAAAAGGATCCACTCGTTTTATGTGACAAGTGAAATTTAAAATAAAAATTAATTTTAAATTCAGTTCTTTAGTGGTACCAGTCACATGTCAAGTGCCCCAAAGCCACCTGGAGCTAGTGGTTATTAAATCTGACAGAACATGCCCCTTGTCCCAGAAAGCTCTGCTGGACAGATGTTGCACTAACCAAGAAATGCTGTAAGTAGTTGTCCAGGGTTCTTCATCCCTTCAGGTCCTTCTGCAGAGGCTACCTCCTCCGCCTTTCTCAGTGCCCTCTTGACTACCGTTTTTGGATAGTGGGGCCACATAATCCACAAGTGTGACCACCAGCTCGCGCCACATAAAGTGGTAACATATCCTCAATAAAGAAAACACACTGGGACCAAAAACGTTGTCTCTGATGGTTTTTGGAGCCTCTCTAATGAGCGTCTTCCTTGTCCCTAGGACCACATACAGCTGTTAGTTACCTCACTCACGGCTCATATCGGCTTCTCAGGACCCTGCCCGCTACTATGGGATGCCACTCCCTTGTCCCTCCCATCCCAAGTGGGCAGAGGGAGGTGTTCAACTGGGATATTTTTGGGCATGAAAATGCCCTCAACAGGCCTCCCTGGTGGCGCAGGTTGAGTGCAGTGCTGTGAAGCTGTCCGCAGCCTCTGCAGCACCAGTTCGATCCCGGCCAGCTGGGGAGATGCCCACATGAAGCAGCAGACTTCTCCTGTCGCGCCCGCTGCTCCCTTCAGCAGTGTATTTCGGTCAGTCTGCCTGTTCTGTTCCCTGCTCTGTCTCTGGTGAGTCCTCTCACCCTCCTGCGTGTCTGGCCTGTACCCTGGTTCCTGTATGCATGAATAAATAAATCTTAAAAAAAAAAAAGAAAAGAAAGAAAATGCCCTTAAGCCTCTGTGTGATCCCATGGAGGACAGGGGTTCACCTGGGAGAGCTTTTTTCCATTTGTTTGTGGTAGCAGCAATGGAATGTTGCATTGGAAGTGTTGAGATTGAATCCAGTCTCTATATAAAGCTCCCCCTGCCCCTCCATGAATTGTTACCTGGGAACAAATACCCTTCAGAATCAAGTTTATAACCAAGTTTATACTGAGTTTAGTGCTCTAAACTTGCTTTCATGAAATTCCTCGCAGCTAACACTGAACCCACAGTCCTGGAGCTCGAGGGAACACTCCAGGGGAGGAGAGGCATTATCCAAGAACACGCAGACAGGCCTGCTGACTCCCCTGATGACGCTCTAGACAGCCACAATAGCTGAACATATCTGTGAGCAAGCCATATGGCAGTTCTCTCTCACACCTGTGTTAACCCTCTTCATGTCAGAAAATGTTCTTGTTGCCCTAGAGGACTGTGAATAAGGTGCCGAGGTGTGGGCCCAAGGGCCCAACAGAAGATAGGCTCAAGGTCTCACAGACTTTGTGTCTCACAGAACTTGGCTGCACCCAGGCAATAACACCAACCCCTGGGTAAGTGTAAGGCAAGGTCATGTGGGCTTACACCTCCAGCACCGTGCGCTGGCACAAAGCGCTTTCAGCACACCTTGCGGCAACTCCTGCTGATATGTTCAGGAAGGCGATGCCAAACATGGTAGCTCAAAGCGAACACCTCTTCCTCTCACTGCTCTTTAGGCAGGCTTTATACCTGCGCCCTTGCACAAGCCACACTGTCTACAGGAAGGACCCAGGGACTGTTCATCTGGGGTCTCACACCAGATGTGTGAGAGAGCACCATCAGAGTTTGTTCTAAAAGGCTGGGTATGCTCTTGTTCCTTGCTGTGTCTATTTTATCAGAAAACAGGCACACAGCACCTCCGATGCACTGCTTAGTCAGCCACTGTCCCTAAGTGGCCTTGGCGAGGGGACAGTCAAATATCCTTAGAGATTTAGCTTGCACTCCGGGAACATCTTAGCTTCGTTCGTACCTTGTCCTGACTTCTGCAACATCGACAGCTGTATCCAGGGCTTAATTGATGGCCGAGTGGCAGGTTCCAGTACACTGAGGTGTGGCGATGTAGCTTATGAAGGAGAATGAAGCTGGTGCGAGGGCCACTGTCCCAGCCCAGGCTTCCTACTCAGATATCTGGGGGAGTGCCTGCTTTCAAATTCAACCCCCACATTCCCTACCCCTTTCCCCAATTTACATTTTCCTTACCACTTGATGCAGAATCTACTGATTTATTTCCTGCTGTTTTCACACAACAGTGCAGACCCGATGCAGCAGCCACGGACAAGGGGTTAACTGTTGAGCTTTTGAAATGTAGTCAGTGCTGTGAGAATAAAAGACACACCAGATTTCCAAGACACGTGGGGGGTTAAAAAATGCAAAAAAAAATCTCATAACTTTTAATATTGGTTACATGTAGGAATAACATTTTGGGTAAACTGAGGATAAATAAAACATTGTTAAAATTAACCTCATCTGTTTCTTTTCACGTTTTTTAAGCATGCCTCCTAGAAGACTTAAATTATGCATGCGCTGGCACTCGTGGCTCGCTTAAATTCCGGCCCGCGGGCGCTCTCACTGGTCTGGAATATCCGCCTGGACAAGTTCACCGTCCGCTCGCGGCCTCCTGGGCCGAGCTGGCCCGCGAAGACGCGCCCTGCCTCGCCCGCTCACGACCCGCAACGCGCTGGCACGGGGTCGGCGCGCCAACATTTCAATGAATGGAAGTTAGGAGGCCGGGAGGCCGCGCGCCCGCGGCGCCGACGAGCACGCCCCCCGCACCCCCCCGGGAAATGAACCGGGGGCGGCGAGGTGACGTCAACCCCGGCCCAAACGCGCGCAGCGCCGAAACGCCGGGGTCGGGATTCGAACCTGGTTCTGTGCCCGTAACCCCGGAGCGCTGGCCGTCCCTACCTTGCGGGGCGGCAGCGACGAGACGCACGGGCGAGGAGCGCGCAGCGGGCGCCCGACCCGGGGCGCGGCCCCCCGGCCGCGGCCTTCAGGCGCTCTCGCAGGCCCGGGCCCGGCCGGTCCCCTCCGCGGCGTCGGCTGCTCGGGTCTCCGCGACGGCCGGAAGTCCCGCCTCGGCCGCGCGCCCCGGGGCGCCGCGACAGCCACGCCGGCCAATGGGAAGCGCGCCGTGGCGGACGCTGGCCAATGGGCGCGCGCGCCGGGGGGCGTGTCCGGGCCGCGGGCCGGAGCGGGTCGTGCGCGCTGAGGAGGAGCCGCCGCCGCCGTCGCCGCCGCCGCCGCCACCGCTACCGAGGCCGAGCGGAGCCGTTAGCGCCGCGCCGCCGCCGCCCGCCCGCCCCGGAGCAGCCCCGGGCCCGCCCGCCCGCGTCCAGGTGAGGCGGGGGCCTTCGGCGGCGCCCTTCGGCGGCGCCCGACGAGGTAGGCCGCGGCAGGCCTGAGCTCGCCCGGCCGGGCCCTGGGCGCCCGCGGGCCTGCACCGGCCGAGGCCCAGGCCGCCCGGGCCCGGGGAGCGCGCGGGCGCGGCGGGCGGGCGGGGGCCGGCCTCTGTGGGCGCCGGCGGCGGGCCCGGGCCGGGTTCCTCGGCCGCCGCGAGGGGCGGGCGAGGGGACGCGGCGTGGGCACGCGCGCGGCGGCCGGGCTCGGCGGCCGGGGTCCCGGTAGTCGCGGAAGCCGGGATCCGGGGGCGGGAGAGCGGAGCCGCGGGCGAGGGAGCGGGCGAGCGCCGGGAGCGCGCAGAGGTCACGGCCCACGGGCCGGCTCCCCGAGGAAATCCTCCAGATTCTTTTGTGGTGCTTGTCAGCGGACTGCACCAAACGGAGTCCTCTAGAGTGTGCAAGCCCTGCCCGCGCGTGGAAGTCCTGGGGAAATGCATGCCTTTCTGAACGCCATTTCGTCACGAAGCTGTTTTGGGGCTTGGGGTATTTGGATCCATAGAATTTGTGTGTGTGTTGAACACACAAGCAGCACGCATTTGAACAATGGGGGATGGATGCTCTTCCTTTTCCGGTGACCACTGCTGCTGGGTTTTAAAATGGGCTCCAGTATCTGCTGCGTTCAGGGTAGATGGGGAAGAACTTCGGGATGCCCTGCCCCTGCAGGGACCGAGCCCTCCTCGCCCAAAGTATTTCATGTGGGATTTGCATGAGCAGTGCTCCAGAAGCGGGAAGACGGGAAGGATGATTCGCCTAAAGAAGGGGACCTCAGCCTTAGCACTGCTGAAATTTTGGTCTAATCCCTGGGGGTGGCGGTTCTGACCTGTGCATTGTAGAATGTTGAGTAGCATCCCTGTCCACACCCACCTACCCCCAGTTGTGAAAACCAAAGCTGGATCCGGGCTTTGCCAGAACACCCCACACACAGTCGTACGTGTGAGCACTACCTTTGGACTAAATGATCTAGTAAAAGCTCCAGCCCCATCTCTGATACCCTGGGATCCAAGGCTCTAACTTGAACAAACTCAACTGTGGGAGCCTTAGTTGTCTTAGCTGTAAAATGGAATTGACAAGAATAGTGTATATATTTAATGAAGCTCCTTGTATTGTGCATGGCCTGTGCCTGGTAGGCACTGAATAAGTGATATTATAGTCACTAGTATTTAATGAGAATTTACTGTGTGCTCGACACTTCACGGATGTTTGTCTCCAGCCCTTGAGAGAGCTGTTGTAATTTCCACTTTAGGGATGAAGAAGCAGGCATGATTGGGTCTTGATGTGATCAGTCTCACAGTGAAGGGAGTGGGTCAGAACTAGCTCTCAGGCCTTCTGACACAAAGTCCTTACTCTTAATCCCTGGGTTTTACCATCCCGAGAGGAATTCCATTCTGTTGTCATTGAGCATCTTCTGTATACACAGTTTTTTGCTGGGATCTTTTCTAAAATTTGCAACTTCAAGGCCCATGAAGAGGCCGAGATACAGAAACATCTCAAAATGTGGAACTAATTAATGTTTAGTTAATCATTGAAGTGGTGGTTTCTGGGACAGTTTGATGCCTTGAATCTAAGGTTGTGGGGCAACAAGTAGAAAATGAGAGGAGAATACTGTCTTCCTGTTGCCTATTTTATTTTTTTAAGATTTTTATTTATTTATACAAGAGCTGGGGTACGGGCCAGAGGCGCGGGAGGGTGAGAGGATTCACCAGAGACAGAGTGGGGAGCAGAACAGTCAGATGGACAGAAAACACTGCTGAGGGGAGCAGCAGGCAAGTCAGGAGAGGTCTGCCGCGCCATGTGGGTATCTCCCTGGCCGGCGGGGATTGAACCGGCACTGCAGAGGCTGCGGACAGCTCCACCGCGCGGCACTCAACCTGCTGGGCCACCGGGGAGGCCCTGTTGCCTATTTTATTGTCCCTCTCCCTCCCTGCTGCTCCTCTGTGTTCTCTTTCTATGTTACAGCAAGATTTATCTTGCTAAAATACAGATTTGATCCTGTCACTCCTGACTAAAAGCCTCTTGGCAGGCAAAAACATGTGAATCTTTTTAACCTCTTTGGCTTAAATGCTGAACTTTGGGACACTGGGTCCTGCGCATGCTAGCTCTCCTTCCTTTGTGAGTTGTGCACATAGACCCCAAACTCTGACACTCTGCCCGTTGCCCTCTCTGTCTGGAGCGCTGTTCCCCTCCACATGCAGATCTCTTCCTCATGCTGCTTAGCCCAGCCTGTGGCTCCCTCACCACGGAGCCTGCTCCGACTGCCTGACTGCCGCGCTGCTTCCACTGAGCAGAACCAACTGTTTCCTAGTTTGTGTCCCCATCCTGTTCCATTTATTGAATCAAGTCAGATGCTAATTGGAAAGAGATGTGCAGTTGCACCTCTTGCCTGTAGGTGGCACTAGTGAAACAAGGAGGCCAACCTGAGGCTTTGGTGGGGGGAAGAGCAGAGGAAACCCGCCTGCCGGAGGGAAAGGAGTCTTGCTTCCCTCTGGCCAGCTCTCCCTGCTCTGCCGCGTGCCCCAGGCCCTGTGCTGGGCTCTGGGGAGCCAGTGGTGATTATTATGTGCGAGTAGATTATTTCAGCCCTCTCTGCCGATCGTGGTGATCTTCATGCCCTGGATGACGGGGAAGCACAGGAACCGAAAGTGGTAACCAAGAGTGTTGAAAGGATGATTGTCTGTTGCTCAGTTTTTGTTTTTGATGGAAGAACTGATGTCCAAATTGATTGCTGGGAGCAGAGGCATGGGCAGGAGTTTCCAGGTGCAGCCGACAGCCCGAATTCAGGAGAGGGAGGAGAACACAAAGAGGTCCAAGGCTGAGTGGACTGGCTTGGCCAGGCAGAGGATCAAAAAGGTGAATTTGGGCATGAATCTAGAAAAGTCTACCAGGACCAGGTCAGTGGTAGAGTGGTGTGGGCACTGGGTCAGTGGTGGCCTCAGAAGACTGTTTTTCTAGGGTAGAGACAAATATGGATGAACTGGTCAAGAGGGGGCCTGGTATTTGCCTGAAATTGAGGCTTGTGACTGGGCCTACTTATTTACCTCATATGCCTAGTGCTTCGCTCTGCATCTGGTACATGGTTGGCACTGGGGAATGAAGAGCTAGAAGGGGGCGCCTAGCTTCTAGGAGACTTTTATGCCAAGAGAAAGATTAATGGGAGCAGGACAGCCCGGTAGCAAGACTGACAGCACCGTGAACAGAAAGAGGGAGGCAGAAAGGAGTGACTGGAAGAGAAAAGAGATGCCAACTTTGAAATAACAGGGAAGCCACTTGTGAGTCTGCCTAGGCAGGAAGTAACAGGGACCTAAACAAGGCTGGGGAGAGGAAGACACCTTAGCCGAAAAGCTGGCAGAACTTGCTGCTTGTATAGATTTGGGGGAAGGAGAGTGGTGTCTTGGAAGACAGTTGTATATGCGTGATTCAGGGGGAGGTATAAAGAAGGGACCAGGACAAGAGGAGACAGGCACGCACATTAACCTTGACTTTGTTAATGAAGTAGGATTAAGGGGACAGAACTTGAATAACAGAATCTGTGCAAGATTATGTGTGTGATGGATGGATGATTGAGTGGGGACCAATTTCTGATGGGTGCCTTGATGATGGTGGGTGCTGGTGGTGGCCACGCTGTGGCTTCCAGGGACCTCTCAAGCCCACTAGAACAGCACGAAAGGTGTGGGCTGTTTCCAAGGTCCCGAGAGAAGCTCAGATTTTTTTTTTTGTCTTAGTAGACCGTGTGTCAGGAACTGTACGGGGTGTTGTGAAGCAGGTGGTAAGGTAATATCCCCATATTCTGGACAAGGAAACTGAAGCTCTGAGAAAGGAAGTGAGGTGGCCACAGTAGATCAGCTGACTAGCAGTAGGTTCGCATTTGAGTCAGATCTTTCAGATTCCCATGCCCACCCATGGATTTTTCCTCACATGCCATGTCGCTTTCTGTGTGAGGCCCCGTAGTGGCCTTGACCTGCCAGAGAGAAGATGGAACTCGAGGCAAGGCTATGGAGCTGGTCAGGGTCCCTGAGGCCTTTGAAATACTTGGGCTGGTCCAGACACCTGGCTGCACCCAATCTGCTCCTGAGCCTGGATGGAAGGACCACGGCACCCCTGGAGCTGCCTTCGCCAGGCGGCTTTTCCCTGTGTGCGGTTGGCCAGGGAAAGTAAGGAAACTTGTGCCTAGCCCTCCTGAGCCGTCGCCTCGACTAGCAGTTCTAATTAGGTCAGCTGGTGTGTTTCATTTTTTTTTTTTCCCCTGGCTCCAGAGCATTTCCTGGGTGACCTTACAAGACTTTTACTGTGAAGGACTCAGAATTTTACATCTGGAAAGGCCCTTGGAAGTAATTGAGTGCAATTCCCAACATCTGATGTGTGAAGTGTCAGAGTTGAGCCTGGGGATATATTTGACTGTTCTAGTTTTGTTCTGGCCCAAGCTATTTAGAAAGCCTGCTTCTGTGACTATAAAATGAGACCAGATCTCATGTGTGCCTGGTGGAAGCCAGTCTTGTCGCTTTGGATGTGTCCCACCTATGGCTAATCTGATGTCATTTATATTTAATCCTCCC